AAGAGCAAGCATTCTGTTGAAATCTCTCTTTTTATAGTAGGTTCATTTAAAATAAAACTTTATCCTTCTAATCTTATACTCACCAACTCTTTCAGAATTAATCCTATAGAGACTGAAGTTGGGTCGGAAAAGCCTGTACATGATGGATAATCAAAACTCAATAATCTCAGCTTTTATACCAACCTATGGACTAATACATATTATGGACTAATACATATTATGGACTAATCCATATGGATTGGATTCGATTGAAATAAAATCCTGCATGGAGTACAATCTCAAATATGGTGCAGACCTTGGCAGCTTCTGACATGAGGAAGAGGGAAACACACAAGTGGATGTTAAATAGAAGGCAATACTAGAATATGCTGGCATCTTTGTGCCAGTGGTAAGTAGTTTGCTGCTTGCTTCAGATCTGACTGACTGTATCACCACCTGGGGTCATGAATCACTGCTGGTGACTCATCAGGCCCACCACCTGGCAAGGCAACCTTGGTGGTTCAGCTGGCTCCTGAGTGAGGCTGTGGGGCACATGGAGGCAGAGCAGCACTGGCATATTCCAGGCTTCCATCCTGCCTCTACTGTTGCTACTGCTTGAAAACTGAAGGTCTAGGAGGCTTCCGGACACAGCACAAAAGGACTACCTTTACTGCATGCTTTACAATGATTAGGATACCAATAAAAGTGGAGAAGGGGAAGGTAGCAAATCAGCACCACTAAAAACAGGTCCCTTTATTGTCCCTCACGGTACTATTCTACGCATTCACCCTGTAATATCCATAATCACAGGCTATTTCCTGAGGAGATATGTCTTCAATAATTACAGGAGTCCCCCTTATCTTTGCGAGATACATTCTAAGACCCCCCCCCAGTGCATGCCTGAAAACATAAATAGTATACAAAACCATATATATACTATGTGTTTTTCCTACATATACATATCTACGATGAAGATTAATTCATACATTAGACACAGTAAGAGATTAACAAGAACTACTAATAAACCAATGACAATATACTGTAATAAGTTATGTGAATGTGATCTCTCAAAATATCTTACTGTACTCATTCTTCTTGTGATGATGAGAGATGACACAATGCCTATGTGATGAGATGAAGTGAGGCGAATGACGCAGGCATGAGGGCATAGCGTTAGCGACTACAGGCACCTGCTGCTTAACCAATATAGTCTCTCTCTCTCTTTCTCTCTCTCTCTCTCTCTCTCTCTCTCTCTCTCTCTCTCTCTCTCTCTCTCAGCAAACTGCCATGAATTTCTTTTTCCTTCTTCACAGTTTCATGGATAGAAGATTCATTCTTACTGTAGATGTTAGCATCCTCAGCATACGACTTTTTTCTTTCCATATTAAGTTGAGAACTTTCACCTTTTCACTTAAAGGAGGTGCTTTACGGTTTCTCTTTGGCATATACGAATCACCAGCTTCATCACTCTTGCGCTTTGGGGCCACTATTAAGTAAAATAGGGGTGACTTGAACACCAGCACTGTGATACTGTGACAGCCTATCTGATAACTGAGGTGGCTATTAAGGGAGCGTCTACAGCGTGGAGACACAGGACAGAGTGATTCACGTCCTGCGCCAGATGGAGCAGGACTCGCAAGATTTCATTGGGCTACTCAGAATGATGCTCAACTTAAAACTTATGAATTGCTTATTTTTGGAGTTTTCCATTTAATATTTTCAGACTGTGGTTGACTGCTGATAACTGAAACTACAGAAAGTGAAACCATGAGTAAGGCGGGCACTGCCATAAGCACAGATGAAAGCTTACGCAGACAATTTTCCGGACTTGAAGCAGTTCCTCTGAGACAGAGATACCCCTAGGGCAAGGCATACCAGGTGCCTATGCTTGTGGGCAAAGATGCAGCAACTCAGAAAGCAGCTGGTGGGGAGACGGTGGCTTAGCCACTTGATGTAAGGTGTGTTGATGCCTTCATTCTCCCATATAAATCTCATCATCATAGCCAAGATAGAGCTACCATCATTTTACTGGCTGAGAGTCATTTTGATGTAGTTTCCCTGCTTAAACAGATTGTCTGTTAGGTGGGGAGGGGTAAAGAGCAGATACCAAGTCTCTTTCTAGGTCCAAGTCTAGCTTAGGTTACTTCCTCCAGAGCAAGGCAGTCCTGGGTGAGGGCTCAGCAGACCTCACAGCACGACAGCCTGTTATCGGAGCTGTCAGAAAGTGCCTCATCTTCTGGGCCCTCCTCCTGGCAAAAGGAACTGCCCCCAGCTAATTTGAAAATGCAACCATGGGAAACCAGTGTCCTAGCCACCGGCTGCTGACTAGAGATGGGATCCAGCTTTCTTATGCTACAAACAGAGGGACTTTATAATTTACCTTTCCAGTGAACATTTATTCTCTTGTGTGGATGAGCCCACATTTGGGTATTTCATTCCTGTAATTCCCCGTCTATTAACTAGGCACAATGGGCTCCACTCTTAGATTCAGAAATAGCTCAGCACCAACAAAGCTGCTTTCGCCACGTCTGTATGGGGCAAGTGACATAAATAGTTGGGCAATTATGTGGTGTTCATTGTGGGGAGCTTCTGCTGTCAGCTGGCTGGGACCACAGAGAAGGGCTGCTGCTGGCATCAGGGATTCTGAGCACTTTTTTCCTGCTGGCTGAGGTCCAGGGACTTGTGAACAAGTAGACAGAAGAAACCCTGTCCCAAAGCAGCGTTCCTCAGAGGGAGCTAGCAAAGTGGTGAAAGGCTGAGATTAAAAGCCTGAAGGGCTCCGAGTAAAACATCAACAAACTTAGCTCTGCCCAGAATGAGTGCACAGCAGAAGCAGGCTGAATGGAGGATCAAATGCATCCCCGGTGTCAGTTCAGTCTTTGCTCCCTCATCGTCTTCCACGTCACTCAACAACTGAGAGGCCATCGGTTAGAGAGGAAATTCAGGTACTTCATACTCAGACAACAAATGACTTAAATCTTAACACAACTGTATGAACTCGGGACAAGTTACTTAATCACGTGTGGCCTCAGTTTCTATATCTGTTGAATGAGGAAAACATACCAATATTCTGAGAGCTGTTGTGAGGATGACATTTAAAGATGATGTGGAAGGTTGAGGAAACTGTTATCGGGGGACATTTAAACAGAACACCTCTAGCTGTCCTGTAATGTACATATATTGTGCTGCAGGTTGCATCCACATTGTGCTGCCCTTCGACCTTAAAGGGATTTTAAGCAATAAATACTAAACAGATTAAATAAATCCATTCTTCATTTTACTAGTATAATTCCAATAAATTTTTAATCAGGAAATATTGCAGTACCTGAATAAAAAATCACAGGAGGCCGGCTGAGTGGCTCAGTTGGTTAAGAGCTCGCGCAAGAGTGTGAGCTCTGAGCAACAGTGGTTTGATGCCCGGCACAAACTGAGTTGCCACTGAGCTGCCAACAGGTAGCAAGATGGCTCAGCTAAAAAAAAAAAAAATCACAGGAAATCTTAATGCAAAGTTATGAAATAGAATTTAAATATATCTACATTCATTCCAGTATAGTGTGCATGTGTACGATTAAGTTAAAATGAGATCTCTGTATTCTCCTAGTTCATCAGTATAATTCATCAGTATAATGGGAGAATGCCACTTCATCCGTGGGCAGCTGCCTCACGGCTCTCTGAGACTTGAGTGTTTTAAATGAGGCCTTTACATTTACTCCTCTGTAAAACTCCTACTTCAGTTGTCTAAGTTAAAAGAAACAGCAGGCTCTGATTTCTTCATTAATAAAATCATTAATAACTGTTATTTAATAATAGATCTCCCCAAATGACTATCTTCACTGCATGTTCATATATTTACCATTCAGGAAAATAAAACCTGTAAAAGAGCTAAGTCATGCAATGTAGGAAAATAAGCTATTAAAGGGTTTGTGAAGGCCAGAGACAACATCAGAGCAGAGATCAATTCTGAATTGTTGGCCCTGTCTAAAATTTTAACATCTAAAAATGCCATTAATTCCTGTCTAATGAATATGACAATAAGATTATATGTTATACTCCAGAGAGCCATCATGTTTGTTGCAATATTAAGCAATGTTACTTTTTTGAGGCCCCTAAAATGTCTTCACTAAAAGAGGTTGTTACCATGTAAGGAACCCATCACTAAAGTAAATGCTATGTGGCCTCCAGGCAATCATTTCTAAATAACGGTAACAATTTATAACAATCGCTTTCAAATCAATTTTGATGCAAATTTTAGTCTTATTGTGTGAAAAAAACCCAAAGTGCAGAATAGTATGTACAATAATGTTACATTTTGTGTATAAAGGGTAAAAAAATAAAATGTATCTTTTCTGCTTAAGAAACTCTGGAAAGATATGCACATAAATATACATACACCAAGGTTATGTGTGGTCAAAGGCAGATCTGGGTGGAGCCGGGACCCATAGCGTAGGCTTTTCAAAATTTTGTTTAATTTTGGAACTATGCAAATGCATTACCTACTTACAAAATAAAAACTTAAAAATATGCCTTCATGAAATCTTGCATGGATTTTTATTTTCTCTGACATTTCTTAAACGAGATTATGTTCTACAAACTGGGCACCGTTAATTTAGTTTTAAGAAAGAATGGTATGTGAGATTAGATGAAATATTTTCCTATTGTTTTATATAGTTGCACAATTATAATTGTAATATTAATTATATATTCATAGTTACCCCATTGATTTTATATCTTTGAGCCATCTACCAACCCATATGAAAGGCTGTTTCTGACCTGTTCTTAGTTCAGTTTGATCACAAAGCTGAAGAAATTGAGGACGAGGAACGCTTTCCCCAGATTGTAAATTATTGAATAAAGAAACTACTCATTTTAGTCACTTATGAAGGTTAGAATTTAAAGCATAATAATACAAATAGCATGCCCATAATCTCTATTAACTTTTCCAGTCTGTGTAGCAAGCACATTTTGGTGGCTATGACCATGAAAAAATACATCAAATATGACTAAAAGGAAACAACACAACGTTTTCAATGTTTTTGAAAAAGAATACTGTTATACCTGTGTTTTATTATAAATAACCAGGTTCTGTCATATTTTATCTTCTTGCCAGCAAATGAAGGACATTGTTTCATAAAGCTTCTAAAATGTACATGAATATTTAATTAAATCATATTTCCTTGAGAAAATAAAGTTCATTCGCATTTTTAGCAGACAGTTGTGAGGAGTACATAATATTCTTAAGACCAGGGTAGCCAGTACCGGTTGCTTGTGGAACAAAACTCCTCAATTTTTAAAACATTTTTTTAAAAAATAAACATACAATCATAAGTGTTCATTTACTTTAAAAATTCTAAAGATGAAGAAAATTATTGTCTATATATTTAAGTCCTTGTATAAATTACAAAACTCAAGTTTATGTTACAGAGTCCCTTCCCCATAGGAAGCATAAAGCACTTTTGTGGTACCTTTCACCAGTAAATATTTGTATCACATTGAATTTGACAAACAAAATAAAAGTCGATATTGCAACTATAAGCCCCCAGAGAACATTCTTCCAAGCTGTCTCTCATGATGAATGAGCTTCGAAAGTCATTTGATTGCCACGATTTAACTCAATCTCAAATAAAGATATATAAAAGTAATACATATATTGACTTCAGTAGAAATCTGAAAACTCAGTGAACTGCAGACTCTTCTTGCTTGAGGTCAAACACCCTTTGGAAGACAACCAAGAGTAGTTTAAGACCAGGGCAACAAAATAAAATTATGACAATAATAATTATAATAAAAATAACAATAATAAAATAAAAATAACAACAACCAACAATGAGGTAAACTCCCCTTTAAAAAGGCAATATGTGTTGCCTGGACTGTCAGGAGAGAGTTCGATTGTACCTGACACCCAAATGTTTTTCCAACCAGAGTTCAGCCAGTTGCACGGTTGAGGCAAAAGTACTTGCCTTGGATCCTAAGCACATCTTATATTGCTTAGGGTCCAAGTTAGGGTCACAATGAACTGGATGGAAAATATGCACTACTCCTATTTCTTGACTTCTGAAGGGTCTTAAGCCAGATAGAATAACTTTATTGTAGAGATCTACGTCTTCCAGTCCCCAGCCTTGTATTGAGGTATCAAATCCACCTGCGTCCAGAAGATCACTTTTATAAATACAGGTAATTCCATAGCCATAGTCTCTCCAAAATCCAGTCTTCTTGGAGAAGACAAAGTCATCGTCAGCAGGAGGATTTCTGTCCTTGGTTACCTTTGGGTCATACTGGCTAAAGATGATGGGGTAGTACACCTGTTGTCCCTGAATTGTATTGTCTCTACATCGTTGGAGAAAGTCTCCTCTGAAGATCAAGTCAACGTCACAAAATAGCAGCAAAGTATCATTGTCAAACTGGGAGGCAGCCATTTCAAGACCAAGACCTCTGGAAAACTCTCCTTTCATGGGGATAAGGGTTATTTCTGCCTTCGGATACTTGTCCTGATACTCCTTTATCAGCTCGATATGCTTGTGGGAGTCTTGGCCAGAATCCTTACTGAAAAGGATGATGACCAGTTTTACATTCTGCTTTGGGATAAGACAAGTGTTTTCAAAGTTCTCCATGAATCTCAAGAAAATATCATACCTTCCAATGAGAGGGACGAGAATGTGTATTTTCTTTTCATTGTGCCCTCCCATTTCTTTGGCACCTTGAAAAGAAGACAGTATCTTTAAAGAGTTAGAGATAAAGGACAATGACTGAGTGTCACTGTTAATACTCTCCACGAGGCTGTTGACGTTTAGCTCTTCAGTTTCTCTGAAGAAAGGTTTGCTAAACAGCTGCTGAAGGTAAGCATGGCGCCTCACCGGCACAGTCAATTTCCTCCCCTTGTGTCTTTTGTACAAGAGGAGTAAATCCAAAATGTACTCCACCCCATGCATGGGGTTGATCCTGCGGTAGCCATACTGAATTTCCTTGAAGTCAATGACCCGTCCCCGGCTCTTGGCGTTCTCGTTGATCATCTCCATCACCTGGAGGACGGTGTCATCCAGCGCCGTTCTGAGGATGCTGCTCATGCTTTGCCGAGGGGGCTGGTTCTCCGAGGCCGAGTAAAGGAGCTTTCCCGTCAGGAACTCCCATTCTATCACCTCATCTCTCTCACGAGGCTGGAAGTGGTTGAACGACGGCACCACTCCCAGCTGCTGATCCTCTTTGCTCACTTCGCTGTTGCTGAGTTTGCTCATCAGCGCGCTCTCCCGGTGGAGCTGGATGGTGCGGTAGCGAAGTTCTGAAATTTTGCGGCTGAGCATGTAGTTATGGAGCCTGTACTGGTAGGCAGGCCTTTTGTTGGGATGAAGCGTTATGGCTGCATGGATTTTGCTATTGTGAAGATCTTGGATGTAACCCTTTCGGTTGTGTTCATAATTTTCATGGAACAGCTGCTGCATCTGAAAAGCAAACGGAAATCAGGATGTTAGAATAACTTTTAAAAGGAATAAAGCAATACCTCAAAACATTTAAATTAAAATGTTTCGTAAAAACAAGTTATATGGTATTTCGTAACCAAATGACTTGGAAAATTTATATTTAAAAGAAATGAAAATGTCAAATTTATATGCTCAATACTGCATACAAACCTCCCATCAATCATATGCAAATACTGTACACTAACCTCCAGCTATATATTTTGAAGTAAAGAATCTTTGTCCCTCTATTCATTCTGAAATCAACCCGAAATATCACAGAAAACAAGAACTGAATATGTCCATAACCCTACAATAAGGGAGGGGCAGAGTGGGTAGAGCATGGATTTCCCAAAATAGGGGGGTTCACCTCAGGAGTCAACTCAATGCCCTGTTGCTTGGCATCATAATATCAGCTGCAACGCACAAGTAAAGTTAATTTAGCATCCTGATATACCATCTTTACAGAATAAGTTCTTGGTAAAGTAAGGTGGGGCAGAAACTCCTTAGATCCATGCTGCTGATTTAAAGGATCCTATCCCAAATTAGACGTGCTGACAGCCTTATGCCCCAGATTGGCTCTCTGCTAGTCTAGAGCAAGCTCACTGCCTCAGAAACAAAAGTGAGGAAAAACATAGAATTGTGAGGTCATCCTTCAAACTGCCGATTGACTCCTCCTCCTCTGCCAGTCAATACAGAAAACTTCTGGAGATGAGTACCAAAGGAGGAGGAGGAGGAGAAGGGGGAGATATCTGCGAATATACTGATTAACAAGGAGAAGACTGTACACTTAAGAATACGTAGTCAAAGCAAGTAAAAATTATAGACCAATCAAATAAATTAAAGAAAATACAATCTCTCTAAAAAAACTGTCAAAGAACAAATAAATGAGCTTAAAGAAGATAATAAAACCATTGATATTCATCATACAAGAAGCATAAAAAGAGATCTGTGGAAAACATAGAAAGGAGAGACTTGAGAAAATGTAGCAAAATGATACAAATATAAAAGACAGGTTAAAAGTTTGGAGATGTAGGCAGGCTGAGTGGCTCAGTTGGTTAAGAGCTCGTGCAAGTGTGCGAGCTCTGAGCAACAACGGTTTGAGTCCTGGCCCGAGCTGAGCTGCAGCTGAGCTGCCAACAGGTGGCAGGATGGCTCAGCTAAAAAAAAAAAAAGTTTGGAGATGTATATGTATACACACACACAGATATATGTATATATATGTATATATTTAATGTAGATTTAAAACTTTGGATATCTAATACTTCTAAATAAATATTAAAGGAGATAAAAACTATATGTGTAAAATATGTCTGAGGGACAGATTATCTTTAAAAGAAAGGCAGATATGTATCTATGTGCAATCACGCAAAGAGAAAAACAAAACAAAATAAAATAAACAAACAGAACCCACTTTGACTCTAAGTAGAAGAATGAATCTTGCCATAACATTCTCCACAGCAACATTTAATTCTGAAAAACAGTAGAGCACAGCCTCGGAAAACACCCCCAGGAAGCAAATGAATGGCTCGTATTTCATATTTAATCAAGCTAGAGCTCAAGTTATCCCAATTAAGCTAGAGCTCAAATTTTATTGCAAAAAATATATCTCCAAAAAAATAAATAGCTCCTGGGCCGGCCGAGTGGCGC